ATGGAAATCTAAAAATTCAAAAGTGAATATCTTGACATGGCTGGTATTTGTGGAGAGGCTAAACACGTTTGATAAAGTCCAAGAAAATGCCTTAATGGGGTGTTGTTACCCAGTTGCTACACTTTATGTTTTGAACTTTTGAGGCCAACGAAGATACTCTTTATGTGCTTATCCACTGCTTGTAAAGTAGGCACCTATGGATGGAACTCTTCTAAATATTTGATTGTTTGTGAGTTAACAACTTTAGAGCTATGAACAATATTTGTACTCTCCTTCGCAGAAATGTCTATAAAGGGAGAGTAAGAATCACTTGGATCAACATTGGCCAAGCTATTATTTTCATAATTTGGTATGAAACAAAAAAAAAGGATTTTCAACAACAAATGCACTCCATGGGAAGAAAGCTTGGAAGTTGAAACTAATCAAATATCATGCGGCTTCATGGTGTGTTATTTTCTAAATCATTTCAATTACTCAATTAATGAGATCAACTCTTCTTGGAAAGCTTACTTGTAAGTAAGATTGCAATTAATAAGATCAACTCTTCGGTACTATTTTTTATTTTCCGATAACTTCAATTTAAAATTGATTTTCCTTTTCGTTCTTCCACTCCTCAAGTCCAAATCACTCCTCCAACACCATAAAATTTCAAAAAAGGAAATACCCGCGGCAAGGAAAGAAAAAATTAGGTTAAATTACAAGATTGTGATAGGTCTCAGTGGACCTATCTCAGAAATATCGTTCATCGCAATAAAACAATAAACTGAGTCCCCTAGCACTTAGACTTAGAGACGTCAGGAGCTATCTTCTCAGACAAGTCTACAAAAAAACAAAAAAAACAAAAAAAAAAATTCAAATAATACTAATCTGATACCCCTGCAAGGGTTCCACCAAGTCAAATACCCCTTCCCTACGTAGCCTATAGACATGATTCCTATTACAAAATTAGGGAGGGACCACACCGTACAGCACACATTCTCACACCTAACCTATTCCTCCCTTGCCCCCTTTTGTAAATTGTACCTTGTCTCCTTTATTTTTGACACTTCCCAACCTCCCCTTGGGTACAGATGGTGGATTGGAGGCTTTGGATGCCTATCAGATCGATCCTAAACTTTCTTGTAATAGGTTCTACAATTTTATCTCGCATGTCCTTAAACTTTCAATATCATCTAATAGGTCTCTAAACTTTAAACTCTCTAATAAGTTTTTGAACTCTCGCATGTCCTTAAACTTTCAATATCATCTAATAGGTCTCTAAACTTTAAACTCTCTAATAAGATTTTGAACTCTCAGTTGTGTGTGTGTCTCTAAACTTTAAACTCTCTAATAAGTTTTTGAACTCTCAGGTGTGCGCGCGTGCTTAAACTTTCAATATCATCTATGTGTGCGCGCGCTTTAAAAAGTGAGAAATAAGTCTCTGTTGTTAATTCCGTCAAAACTCCATTAGTTTAGCACTTACATGACACGCTAATTGTACTATTTAAGACTATATGACTGTATCATGTCAAATAAAACTCGCCACATGGGATACATTTGAGTGGGTCTAGGACGGGTAAATAGGGGAAGAAAATTGAGAACAAAGTTTGACAGAGTTAATAGCACCTATTAGACACAAAATTGAGATTTCATAGGCACAATAGATAGTTTTTAAAGTTCAATGATCTATTATACACGACTAAAAGTTAAGGGACTATACCTGTAATTATGATAGTTTTCAATAATGGTGAAATTTTGGTCTAGGGTTAATTTCTTTCTTTTTATTAGAGTTTCTTATTATATTTGTTTTTGTTTACAATCCCTTATATGCTAAGCTACTATTTTCATTTTTCACTTAACTTTTGTTTTTCTCATCTATGGCTTGAAATATAAATCCCGATATAACAATATTGAATTTACTATGATCCCTGAAAGTTTTATTACAAGTCTGCATCTGTTATGAGAATTTCACCACATACAAACACAAAAGTAACAGAGAAACAAAAAATGTCTAGAAAGTATGTTCATGACTAACGAGGAACAAGACCAGCAAAAAAAATAAAATCATTACAAAGCAACTTGTCAAACCTATCTCGATAAACTCGAAATTTCTGGATCTCCGAGCAGCCACTAAACTTTGCACCTTTATAGTAAAATTAATACTATCATAAAAGATCTAAAATAGAAAAAGAAATATTAACATAGCGAAAAAGGTATAATATTCTCTTAAATGAAAAGAAGCTAACCAAAATATAATTTTATTGGATGTTTAAATGATAAATGACGTGTATGCCCAAATATGTCATCAGGACGCCATGGAGAACATTTGAACTCTGGAAAAGTATCACCCCGATCAAACAAGTAACTCAAAGGATCTACATATGTAACATTAGCTAAAATAATTCATAAAGGATTTCTACATTGCATAGTTGCAACGCCCTACCTTTATCTCCACATTGTTCATGATATGAAGAAAGAAAATTAATTGCGTCATCTGAAAAATAGAAACTAAAGAAATCCTCCACCTGTATCTGCAATTCAATTTGAACCAACTTTTCTGATCAGAACTGATTAATAATTGCAAAGAAACTGTAAATTCGAAGGATCCAAATCTAAACCACATATTACATGTAAAATTCATCAAAGAAAGAGCAACTTTACCGGAAACTTTGATTCTGCAACCTTGGTAAAACAATCCGGTACTGCATTCCAAATTCAAACCACATCATTTATTCAGCACAGGAATTTCACTTGTTATAACAAGGCAAGTCTAAAAGTGAACCACTAAAGTAATGAATAACAGCATCCCTATGTCCAAGTCAACCTGCCTTTTATTTCCTTCATTAAAATAGCCCTTCCTGTTATACCAAAATAATCCCCATTCTCACCTACCCTTCACACCCTCCACGGAAACAGGACACTCTTTCTAGAGAATGGGATATAACTTTTTTTTTCTTTTTTTATAACTGGGAGTCGAAGCTTTGATCTCTGTACCTAGGGGCACCTGCGCCCGCCCCAAGGCCCAGACACGGGAGACATCAAGTAATTTTGGTATTAAGCTCACTGGAAGGTTCGAACTTGAAACTCTAAGCCAGTATGGCCAAGAGACCCCAAGTCATTACCAATCGGGCTGGCCCTTGAGCTTTTGATAAGAAATTGAAGAAAAAGATTTATTCCAAAGAACAAAGCTACAATAATGATAATGGGAGAATAAGATATCCACCCATACCGAAATCAGAGGGTTCATAGGATACCTCAATCTACAGTAATAAGGGGGGAAAAGTGGAAAATAGAAGCCCTGAGGAAGTGCACTTCATTGGATGTCGTACACTATATGGTGTGGGTTATGTAAACGTACGATGGAATTGCCATTTTCTGTACGACTGTTTTTTCCGGAGATCTTTCACATTTGTTTGGCGCATGATGGATCTTGTCGGCCATGATAGAAAAGGTATTGTTCCATATGCCATTTTGAGGTAAGAGTTGCAGCTTTTTGGTACATAATGGATCTTGACAGCCATGATAGAAAAGGTGTTGTTCCGTATGCTGTTTTGAGGTAAGAGTTGCAGATTTTTGGTACACAATGGATCTTGTCAGCCATGATAGAAAAGGTGTAGTTCCATATGCCGTTTTGAGATGAGAATTTCACATTGTTTGGTACACAATCGATCCTGTTTTGAGGTAAGAGTTGCAGCTTTTTCATTTGCTTTGTGAAACATTTAGCTGGACAGGAATAGAAGAATCTTTGGGGGCTTAAAAGTCTTGAGCTGTAGATTATGCTAGGTCCTACGTCTCTCTTTTGGTATTAGTAGCTAACTCAGGATTTTGGTGACTATCCTTATCTCTACAACTAGAGCCACATTTTTGTAGTTTTGAGGGTGTCTCTTTTGAATAGTCTCCTTCTGTGGTAGACTTTCTTTTTTTATATTGCCCGGTTGTATTCTTTCATTTGTCTTAATGAAAACTAAGAATTGAACTCGGAATAAATATTTAGAAAGAAAACTTTTTTTAACTAATATATGCATCCTCTCTCAGAAGCCAATGGTAAATTTGAAGGTACAAGGAATGACTGAAGACATTCTTGGACTGCACAATTCAAGGACTCGAGGCTAACTCCTTAATCTAAAAGGTCAGAAGGAGGAAAGGGAAGGAAAGGGAAAAGCAGATAAATAAGAAGGGAAAGAAATGCTATATACCCTTGGGAGCATCCACATTTTCCAGCTTCCATGTCAATGTCTTTCTTGAACTTGAAGCATGACTATCAAGAATTGGCTCTGCTTCCTGAATTACATTAATAGGTACTACTGGTAGTGTCTTTGGCCCATTTTCCTCTTCAACATTGGCTTGAACCATAGAAACATCAGGAATGGGAGTATTCATACTCCTTACACCCAGATGATTTAATAATCTAGTAAGTCAAGCAGCAAAGAGTCCATGGAAAACACATTGGTAAAGGTGAAAAAAGTTACCTGTCAAAAGAATCTGTAGAAGAATCCAGCTCCGTGGCATTTTCAATGCCAAGGATACCATCTTCCTGTCTGCTAGATTCATTTATTGATTTCTAACATAAAAATTAAAATTTAATACATAATAGAGACGAGTTTTTAGTTTTTTTAAAAACTTGTCATTCCTACCAGTGATATCTTAGCTGGATATTCATTGCCAACTTTCAACAATTTTATTAAATTTTGCATATTACAGCAAGTCAGCAGCTGAATTACGTGAACCATATATTTCAGGGAAGCAAGAGCACACGTCCATAGCATGCAAACATACAGGCATGTCTACATGCATGCAAGCACACGTATATAGGCCATGTGTATGTGCAGCACACATGAAAATAAAGAAACCCATCAAGAATAGAAAATCCATATATCGAGCCTCATCAATCTCGAACACATTTGGACCCCAAGCTCATTCAACATAAGCAGAAACATGTTGAAAATTTATTGCCTAGAATTTTAATCCTCTGGGCATACTTAAAATACACAAGGATATGGTGCAATTTATAGAAAGAAGGATGTGGCTATATTAAGTTATACCATATGTCAAAGTAATGTGATCATCCAAAAAATATAATTAAAATAAATAATAAATAAAAAAGTTAATAATTCTCAATGCTTTTTCCAAATATGCACTAAATATCTAAGCTTATATTAGTGTGAGTAGAATCTAGGGTAAAATTTTGCTTGCATTACAACTCAAACAATTCTACTGTTACAGATAAACATTGAATGCATGATTGTTCACCTGATTTTCCATATTTCCTTCGGTCCCTTTAGCATGCTGCGACCATCCATCATCAATAAGCTTAAAGGCCTCATCACGAGACAGAAAAGATGCAAAGAAATACTGCAAAGGTTAATAAGTAAAATAAGTTATTTGGGCCAGTTGAAATTATGCTGCCAGATGATTAATAACAATTTTATTTCGTATAATATCTACTTGTAGATGTTTCCCTAGTTTAGTTTTTTCACTTTCTAAAAGCACTTTGAAACCTTAGCTAAATTTAAAAAACAGGGGTTTTTTTAAAACTACTTTTTTTAGCTTTCAAAATTTGGTTATAAATAATTTTGAAAGTAGATTAGAAAACAAAGAAATATGTTAGTAAATCAGTAAAATCTTTTAAATATGAAAAACTAAAAACAAAAATGTTATCCGTGCATCAAGAGGCCTTCGACAGGGAGACCCGCTCTCTCCTTTTCCTTTCATTCTGGTGGCTGATTGCCTAAGTAGGATTTTATCTAGTGCACAAGTGAACTCTTTCATTGAAGGCTTCACAGTGGGTCGAGGAAGTATGAATATGAATTTAAGTCACCTACAATTCACTGATGACACAATCTTATTCTCATCCCACAAAGAAAAGGATATACATAACCTTTTCTCTTGCATAAAGCTCTTCGAGGAAGCCTTGGGCCTAAATGTGAATAATCACAAATCGAAGCTGCTAGGGATAAATTGTGAAGCTGACCATATCACACATCTTGCAAACATGCTCGGTTGTAAGGTCAGTACATGGCCGAGCACCTACTTGGGCCTTCCTCTTTTTGGTAAGCCAAAAACAGCCTCCTTTTGGGACCCAATCATTCAGAAAGTGGATAGAAGACTTATGAGCTGGAGGCACACTCATGCTTCTAAGGGAGGGCGATTAACTCTTATACAAGCCGCCCTTGCTAACCTTCCTATTTATTTCCTTTCGCTCTTCCTGATTCCAAACAGTGCAGCTGAAGCTTTAGAGTCTCTTCGGGAAGTTTTTATGGGCTGGCAATAGAGAGAAGGACAATATCCATCTTCTTAGATGGGATAAAGTTAAGCTTCCTCTTCTTGAGGGTGGTCTCGGAATAATAGATATAAGGAACAAGAATACGGCACTTCTTGCAAAATGGGTTTGGAGGTTTCACCTTGAAAAAGATGCTTTTATGGAGAAGGTGATTGTGGCTAAATATGGAGCCAAACACTTTGACCTAAAGCCGGACAGCCACTCATTACAAACCTCCAAAGGTCCTTGGAAATCTATACACAAACAGATGCCTTGTCTATGCTAATATCTATTGCAAAATCGGTAATGGCCACTCAACATCTTTTTGGACGGACCGATGGTGTGGGAACAGACCTCTGAAGTTTGATCACCCCCTGCTTTATGACCTGTCTCTCAGAAAAGAAGCTTCAGTTGCAGATTTTTGGGTTTAATCCTTTTAGCAGTTATAGTTTAAATACTCTTATATCCAACTAGAGAAGTGTTTTCTAACTTCATTGGATAGACATTTTTTGTATATTTCATGCTATCAATGAAATTTGTTTCCTATCCAAAAAAAAAAACAAAAATGTTATCTACACTATAATTAATTTTGGTAGATAAAATTAAAAAATAAAGAAACATGGATAACATAATGCATTAAAAACTAAGAGTCAGGGCCACCTTTTTCTCTCCGTCAAATATCTCGATGGCATTAGGGAAGATCCCTGCTGTCTTTGCTTTACGTACAGCTGTTATTTCTTGTAATGGGATTACTTTCTGACGCAGGATCAAAGATAGATATAAACATAGTAAGAACCTTGACAACAGCATAATTTTGTTTTTATATTTATATAAGAAACTAAGAAGATTTCATTATCAAAATGCCTGATACAGAAGAGGCTAAAAAGCCCTAGATTACAAAATTTTAAATTTTTAATAAAATATTGATATCAGAAATCAATTATTGAATCATGAAATTCATGCTCAAATGGGAATCACAGCATGATACGGAGGTAATACTTGCAATTTTTTAAAAAAACCAAACAAAACAAAACAAAATACTTGCAAATTAAATAATGGATGGTGGTTTTTTTTTTTTTAACAAGATACAAACTTCTCATTGAAGTAATGAAAAGTAATACAATGTTTCAAGAAACAAACTCCCAATGGGAGTGAAAGTAGCCAAAAGAAAAATAAGCAAAATCAACTAAAGGAAAACAGGAATACAGAGTAAACAATCAAGCTTGGTTGTGAGGCAAGATAAAAAGCTTAGTCGGATCCGTCAAACTGGGAAGAAAGCTGCCAAAAAAACTTCTAGAGCAACGAAAGCCATGAGACCAAACAACCATCATGTGCGATAAACGGAAAAGCAAGCCGAGAGATTCTGAGCGCAAAAAAGTGAGTCGAACTCCATCCTTTAAATAATGAATAGTGGTTAAAAGTCTTGCACACCCATCGGCATCCTAAGAAACAATTGTAGCATGTGAATTCAAGAGACTTTTCAGCTATTCCTCACTTGTAAAATTTGATTAATCAAATTATTGCCTTGTTCAAGTTTATAAAATGGACCAATTAACCAGCCCTAACTTGAGGGGTTTCTATCTAACCATGCCCCTCGACAAAATCATCTGAATCAGATTCACAAAGAAGATATATCTGTTATTTATTCCCTGTCTTTACCATTTGTCTTCCATGAGGGGTCGTTCGGTGGCCCTTCATTGGGCTACGGGTCATCCCTCTTTCTTGGTTTTCACCGTCATTTGTCCAATAGGTAAATGGTAGATTCGGTGGACTTGTTAGCCTTATTGGGGGACTTTGTTGTTTATATGGGGAGGAAGGATGCTCGTCTTTGGTCCCCTAACCTTTCAGAGGGATTTTCCTATGAATCCTTTTTTTCGTGTTTTTCAGACCCCATTCCTTTCACTACTCTGTTTTTCGTCACTTTGGAAGGTTAAGAGTTCAAAGAATATTAGATCTTTTGTCTAGCATATCTTACATAACAAAGTTAATACTTTGGACCGATCTTGAGGCACTCCTCTGCTCAATATGGCCCCAGTGTTATATCCTATATAGGGATGCTACTGAACATGTCAATGCCAGTGAGTGTACTTCAATGTTGGAGGAGGTTCTTCATCACCCTCCGTTTAGGGATAGGGGTTGGTTCTTGTGACTGGCATGTGTCTTAGTTGTTTTTTGGGGTTTGTGGACTAAGAGAAATAACAGGAATTTTAGAAGGGTTGAAAGATCTAAGGAGGACGTTTGAGCTCTTGTTCGATTTCATGTCTCCCTTTGGGCCTCTATGTCCAAAGCCTTTTGTAATTATCATTATGTTTGATTTTGCTTGATTGGAGCCCGTTTTTTCAGTTTGGCTCCCTATTATTAGGCTGCTTTTTTTTTTGTATGCCCTTTTATTTTGTTTCATTATTCTAAATTAAAAGTTGTTTTTCCTCAAAAACTAAAAAAACAAAGAAGATAGTTCCAACTTTCCAGGTAACAAGATGGTAGAGAAATTCTAGAGATGTTGGGTCTTCTTTCCTATCAAGCAACCATCCACCTGATCGCTCCACTAACCTGGTCGAAGTCCTTCCATTGTAGTTTTTCCTATTTCCAACCAGCCTTAAATGATTAGCCTCTTCATTCCCCAGGCTTAAACTCTCCAAATACTTCAGCATGAGCCACACTGGTGATTAGAGAAATCATGTCAGCCCCACAACCCATCGTGTGTGTAGAACTTCCACATTTACCTCCGCCCATCAGGAGAACTTTATGCTCCAAATTATCACACAAGATGATATGAAATAGATATATATATATATATGAAAGAGGGAAAGATTCCCAATTACAAAAAGGTCTTCCCATTTGTCATAACTCATAACTCATAAGATTGCTATCAAAAAGGCATCGCCATCCAATGTGTAATGAGATTGCGAAAAACTATAATATGTGAAATGAGGAATAAAAGCATTTACACCACCCCAAAGCCAATACAAAAGCTCGGTCATAGAATCTGTTGAAAGGGAGAAATTCGCTGTTGAAGATTTTGTTATTCCTTTATAGACAAATGGTCCATAGGAAAGCTTGAATAAATCACACACCAGTAAATAGTGGAGTGGAGGGGAGTCTGCCAACCAGAAGAAGCTTGGATTCTGTTCCAAAATTCAGCAGCAAATTCACAAGTGATAAAAACAAATGGCTTTAAGTTTTGAGTCCTTCATGCACATAGGGGAGATAGAAAGGGAGATTCTTCTGGACCATGTCATGTGTGTTGATAACAGTGTGACTTAGCTCCCATAGAAAGTTTTAATTTTCTTAGGGTACTTGTACATCCAGATTTTGTCATAGAGTTAGGGAAGATGGAAATTTCTATATCTTTGAACAATCTACGGAAGTTGTAGTCCCCTGAATTTATAGCTGTGGACCATAAATCTTTAACCCAAGCGTTCTTGTTCTCTGACGAAGCAAGAGATCAGCGAAGTCCAATGCGAATGAAGTGTTGGATAACCAATTGTCATGCCAAAAACTAGTGCTAGTTCCATCCCCTATTTTGTGAACAAGCTAAAAACAAATTCTAAAATACATTCATACATACATACATATACCTACATATGTGCGTGTGTTGAAAAGTCAATTGTTCCTGAGGGATTTGAAAGAATAAATTTCTTTACATATTGCTTTGGAAATCTGATTTTCTTACTATTTTGTACAAGACCATGTATATCTTGTTATCTCATTGAATTTTTTTTGAACAAGATACTAACTTCTCATTGAAATAATGAAAAGGAACAAAATGTTCAAAGATACAAACTTTCGAAAGAGTGAAAAAGGAAATAACAAAATTTAAAAAGGTACAATAACAAAATTAGAACATATCAAGCTAAAAAGGTACAATAAACGCTCTCCAATTAGAACATATCAATCTAGGGGTGTAACTTTTAAAAATAGAAGATAAAGAACACCAATGGGAACTTTGAACTTAGCTATATTGAAACGCATCTCCGGAGATTGTCTCTTGTCTTAAAAAATTCTGAGATTCCTTTCATACCACAGCTCGCAAAGTAATGCCTTTGTTATCGCATTGAATTAGCACTTGCATATTTCCTTATTGAATTAGCCCAATTGTAGGGACTGTTTCCTTGATTGTTAGGGTTACGGTATGCTAGCTATATAAGGTAAAAATTCTAACATTCAAATGGAGATTATACATACCTTTGAAACCTTCAAAAATCAAATAACTCATAAGCATATCATAGAAAATTACATTTCTCTACTAAATTCTTCTTGCATGTGAAAATGGGACACATTCTTCAATTAAATACCAAGTCATTTCAGTATAGCTAAAGCTACTCTCATTAACATAATGTATCTACTTTTTTACACCAAACAAATGAAGTCCAAGAAAAGGAAAGAGAAAAAAGATGGAAACCAAGAGGGCAATTTCTACCCTAAGAATATGAAAGAAGATTATGGGTTTTATAGATAAAATGAACATGAGGAATATGTTTGCATGGCTGCTAGCCCATGTGTGCTAAGGGGAGAGACAGAGCTTTTGGTTTAAATCATAACTTATATGAATCAAGTTGTTAGGTAAAAATAACCTCACACAGCTAAAAGTTGAATTCACTTCTTACCTTTGTCTCAAACCCAAAGATGTTGGAGTAGAAGCAAATATAGTGCATGAACAGATACATGTGGCCCTGAAACATACAAAAAAAAAATAGTGGAATAAAGGATTAGACTAACAATCCATCCATTTGCAAATAGCCAAATAGGAACTCCATGTATGCTATACTTCTACAAGATTAAACTAACGATTGATCATTGGTTTTCTGATGGCAAAATCAAAAGTGGCAATATGACAAGCCCACTGATGTTAGGTTTGATAAATTTTCAAGACAATTTATCTTGAACGAGGCTCTGTGGAAGAAAAAAATCACCTGAATTAGTATGTTCTCTTGGAAAGCACAATTAAAGTCTTCAATAAGGACCTAGGAACACAAACGAGAAGCGGTAAATTTTCAAATAGAAGACAAACATTATAAGACAATATTTAAGAAGGCATACAGAGTTGTAATGTCATACTGGACTTTGAACTCCCAAAGATGGATCTTTATTTTAAAGAAAAGCAAAATGAAGACTAGATGAAAAGAATAAGTAGAGGTTGAATAAAAGATCCACACACATGATTCTTGAAATTAAAATTTCACGGTCTAATAAGTTGGAGGAATGAAAATGCAAAGGGTGAAAAGTATTTTACTCAAGAAAATAATAAATCTTAAGTATTGGTAATGTAAAGTTTATGAGTACACACAATTTTCGGATGTTCAGTGACAGGGCCTTTCTATCATTGGGAACATCCACCGATTGGAACTTCACATGGAAAAAAGGTACAAGAGAAAAAGAAACTTATCTGCCAACCAGGAAATCATTTTAATAGTCGTCACATCAAGGGACCAAAAAATTCACTAGCCAACTGCTTTGAAATCAACCAACAAACGAAGTTATACCACCCATTGAAGATAAAGGAGGATAAGGAGAGTTCAGGATGAGGATGAAAAAGATCAAGAATGGTGACGAAAAATTCATATTCTGCCAAGATTAGACAATCACAATTCTCTTTTTTCAGCACAATAATCTAATCTTTAGCCTTCATTTTCTGCATAAACCATGTCCCAGTGTGGTTCAACTAGTCACAACTTGCACATTAGCTTTGTGCCATAAGTTCTTGGTCCCCAACAGTCTAGCAGCACGTGATCATTTTTACGGTATTACCAAAATTGGCCAAGTTTCTCTCCGTGGAATTTCAGGTTGAATCAAAAGTTGTCCTTGTTTCAGTTTGTCAATCTTGTACCATATTCGGATTCAGAGACTGGGAGCACCATTCCAATTAGGAAGGCATTTAAATCGAGCTTATCTGAATGAACTCCAACTTTAAGCAAATGCGCAAGTCTTTGTACGGTTGTAGACTCTAGATGAAAGTTTGTCTTATCTTCCCTCCTATATAACTTCTATACATCTCTTTTTCTCATTAATACAGAGTTTCTTATAAAAATATCTTGCATTTTATATCTTAGAGAAAAATACGACTATATAATGCCACACTCATCAGCGAGTTGTCTTGCCAAAATATAAAGTAGAGTCTTGATTGAAAAATCCATAATTCAAAATGTTAAGGCTTGATTTATGTTCTTGTAGATAGATAGATAGATGTGTATGTGGTCAAGGTAGAGCCCAGAATTTTCCTTGGGATATGGGCAAAATTATACATTATAACTTTATATATATTGTTTTTCAATTCCAAAAATTTAGAGGGTGGTAAGTTAGATCGAAAACTTCAAAATCTTAACTTTCATAGAGTTTTTAAATCTAGGACGGACTAAGGGGGACAAATTTCCTTCTCCATTCCGCCCTTACGTGTGGGTGTGTGTGGGTGTACCCTCCAAATAAGGCTCCATTTAACATGATACAACCAAGATTTAGCTTGTTATTGCTTCCCAGATATAAAACTGTCCCTAGAGATAAGTCGAGTCTTCAGACAATATGATCTCCATAGTAAACCTCCATAAAGCAGATATCTCTAGATTATCAATTACGACAATCTGCAACCCTTTTTGTCATTTCAAAACCCTAAAAAGCTACACATTCTCTCATCCTTGGACAGAAAAATATTCATCAAATAATCCAATAAATAATATATTGAAATGATTCCAAAGTGACTAGCAACCAACTTCTCATATTCCATATCGTAGAAGCTATATTCAATCTTTTTACACTGCAGAAGCAAGCTTTACACCTTACTCAAAAGCCCCATCATGCGGTAGGTTTGTATGCTATTGTATGTTAATAACTTGAAAAACAATAAAATGTAGTAAATGGTCACAGGAAGCATTGAAAGAAGCAGAAAATTCTTCATTTAGTACTGAAATAAGTAGAAAATACTTCATTAAAATGTTATGATTTTTTTTTCTTAAACAAGAAACAACTTTTCATTAATATATGATAAGGAGAAAAATGCAATGAATTAATTCACAGCATAATATCTCCCTTCTGAAATGTTTTCTGTATAGGTTGTTTGTCTTATTCCAAACCAGGAGAAAACTTCAGAAACCTCACCAAGAAACCACCGTATACATGAATGTTCCAGAACTATGTCAGAGGCAAGGTTTCCTTTTCTTTTGTCTTTTTTAATTATTATTATTACTTTTTGGTTGGCCTAGAGGCTCTATTGAATTCTTTAGAATGACACAGAAGATCCTATTGTCAACTTCAGCATCAATCAATAAACTTATACACTCTCAAGACTAGATGTAGTAGTTACTTACTTCATCAGGTGGAAGACGAAACAACTGCCGATACTCTTCACTTCTCAATAAAGCAGGTGACTGCATAGAAAATAAGCAGCAGAAGAAAGTGAATAAAATAAAATCATTAGGAAAGGTCTCATACATTTTCTGCTTGCAGTGTATATACTATACACATTCAAATATATTCAAAGTGGAGCGGATCAAAGAACCATATGAGAACTTTTCTCTTTCCAGGTCTTTGGATAATTAAAAAAAAAAGGGCACAATAACAAGAATCTAACTATGATAGGGTCCTCTTATGCATTGTGTCATATCCAGGAGAGACTAAAATTCATGGACCAGTCCTTTTTTTTTATAAGAAACATAAGAGAATATATTCAGCAAAAGAAGGCCCCAAAAAGAGGGAAAAAACACCCTAAAGGCGAAGGGTAGAGAGAACCCTCCCCAAAAAGCTATACAATCGCGGCTTTCCAATCTTGTATAATCAAACGAAAACCATAGTTACAAAAAACTTTTTTTGTGGATGGATGTCCACCAAGAAGCCGTATGCTTTATATTCACACAAAACATGTCTATTGAAACCTTTTTGATCCTCAAAAAGCCTACCATTCCTCTCCCTCCAAAGGAGCGAAAGGAGAGCCCTCGCCGCACAATTCCAAAGGACAAAGATTTTTCCTTTGAGAGCGGTGCCACCAAAGCCTTCCATAATAAAATGATCAATTTTCCTTGGGGGACAGAAGGAAACATCTAAAAGTGCTGCCACATAATTCCAAGCCTTGGTAGCGCAAGGACAGTGCAAGAAGAGGTGATCCACATTTTCATTATCCTTCCAACACATACCACAAGCAGCTGGAAAGAGGGCCCAATGGGGGAGTTTCCGCTGAATTTTCTCTGCCGTGTTTGTGCCTCTGCAGAAAAGCGTCCACAGGAAAACCTTGGCCTTTTTAGGAACTCTAAAATTCCAAATGAGAGCTGCTGTCTCTGAATTCAGCTTAGGTGAAGGGAAGTAATGGCCAAAAAAGCTGATTTTACAGTGAAAATACCTTTACTGTCAGCCTTCCACCAGATTTGGTCTCTGCCTTGACCAATTATCGCCCCATCAAGCTTTCCAATCATTGCTGCCCATCTGTCCACCTCCCTTTCAAACAGATTTCTTCTTAAGCCCAAGTCCCATGTTCCGACCTCGGCAACCCAACAATCAGCTATAGACATCTCTTTCTTAGAGGACAATCTATAAATATCAGAGAAATAGGAGGATAGAGGGGAAGAATCAATCCATGGATCCTCCCAAAATCTCACTGTTTCTCCTGAAGATACTTTAAAGAAAGATAGGTAAAACTCTCGTAGAAATCCAAACAAATCTTGGACTTGGTATTTATCATTTTTCCAGTAGACTTACATGCATCATGTTTATAAGCTTTCTTTTGAAGGAATTGTGCACTTGTAGAATATACTACCTGCTTGTAAGTTAACCTGCTCTATATCATCAGTTATTCATAGGACATAAACATTGTCAAACAACTCTCTCGATTCTTATAAAAATCATCTCCTACAAATACATAAAGCAAGTTCCTAAACTTTATCTAGTTAAAAATAAAAACAAAAAACAAAATTCAGATCCATGTTCCCTTCAAATAATTTGTTTATCAATCTATTTCCTTTTAAAAATCTACCAAATTTCTGTTATTTTCACTTGTGTTTCCCTACACAATCTACTTACCAATGCAGAAAGCACCGAGTGTAAAAATGTCAGTGTCTCTTTCTCCTAGCAAAAAATGCATTTCAACTCTCTAAAGCATGCTACTTGGTTTGGTAATACATAATGTAGCATTTGACTGAAGAAGATGATTTGATGTCAATTGGCAGAACTCTAAAGCAAGCAGTTCTAAAGTGTTACATCCTGCCTTGACTTGGTTTTGCCGTTATTTTTTCTATGTTGCGCAAAAGGTGAGATGGAAAAAACTCTTGAGAAATGAGTCAAATTGCACGTATGTATTAATGAGTAGCATGCTCTACGGAGTAAGAAAGACATTTACCAAATAGAGAAAGAGACTTTTAGATTTACGTTACACTCTTTCTAGCTTCAGCTGGGTTGTATAGGGTTCATGTAAAATAATATAAGTTCGGTGTATTGAAAGGAAATAGGCTGTCAGACCAGTACTTTACTGGGAGCGTGATTCTAAAAAACTTGAACTAGATAAAGGTTTTCAAAGCTTTAGTCCAAGAGACGATGGCTATAATGTCATTGAACTTATTCTGACATATTCTATGAGATGATTTCATGTGAATAAAGAGAAAGTTGCTTGTTGATGTTGTTATCGATGTCCTAAGAATGGTTGATAGGATAGAACTCTGTAGAACTCAATGACAATGAGGTACAACCTATATAATTCTTTAGTGTAGAACTGTTTAATAATTACAAGCATGATAAAGTTGCGTCTAAGAGCTCATGAAAATCAAGTACAACTGTACAAGTGTACAACCAATTCTCATTATATGAGTTTCTACCAGTCTCTCGAGATTGATTTAAGAACTTTCTGGTCTATCCTGTACTTGACATGACATTATGCATCTGAGAATTCCCTTTAGAGTACTAGAAATTGTATTAGAATTTTAGTACAACTTCAAAAAACTTGTTCCACTTTTCTTATACCACAACATCATTTCTAAGACTGGTCCTAGAAATCAAGAACATTCACTTCCTGTGCTTTTTGTCACTTTTTTTTTTTTTTAGTTTTCTTCCATTCCCACTTTCTCAGAGACACTCACTTCATAGATATATAAGATAATATAAGCTGGTTATACCTTAATAAATATATATAATATAAAAAAATGAACCAGCGAGTTCAACTAAAAGAAATTTACCATTACAATCTCCCTGTCATTTTTGAAGGACTATGCAAGAAATCTAGAGGTTGTTTGAAAGTGATATGAAAAACATTTGTGTTTTTTTTAATACAAATATTAATTGAAAACGTGTTTGATAGAGTATTTCTTTATTTCTCTTTCTAGTCTGTGGACGAACAAATTACCCGACTCCATATATCTGTAACCATCACAATTGAATTGTTGAAGCCTGCTTCAACATGAAGTATGCTCTTTTTGGTCCCATGCAGGTTTTTAAGGATGACTTATTTTTAAGAACAATTAAAGTTACCTTTATTAAATAATTACCCCTGTTAATTTTCCTGAACCAAGTCAATCGTTCTAAGAAGATCACTGATACCACTTAGGGAGCAAAATAAAATTTCTCAGAATAAGCTCTTTTTATTTTTTGTTTTTAAAAAAACAAGCAATAAGTTCAGTGGTAAATAGGCAAATAATGGAGGGAACCAACCCCCTCCCTTCCCCGCCAAAAACAACGCTTTATTCTTTTTTCTCTTTTTCTCGAATGAATATAGATTTATGGGACTAGTCTGACCCATTCTTTTTCACACGAATTTTCCTTTCTTTTATTCTTTCTTCCTCACTATTCTAATTCAATTTTATGTTCACCCATTAAACTCATGCATCAGATACATAAATAAACAAATTTATCCATATATGCTTTTAAAAAAATATTAAATAAATAAATTATTAAAGAAAGAAAGTACTCTTCAACCAACAAAAAAAAACCGAAGAGGATATGGTGAACACTGAGTAGAGATGACAATAAGAAAGATAGCGAGAATGTGAAAAATATGAGATGAGATCCTTATTGGAAAGGGGCGTGACTAAAAGCACATGAAAATTGGGGAAGCAAATAATTTTTATAAAATTCACCTTTGAGGGTGGCATTTTAGAAGAAGATGGTGACGATGATGATAATCGGCAGCTTCTATTAACATAAACCGAAACAAGAATTGCGGACAAGAAAATTGGAATTTGACATTTCTTTTACCCTTATGATGGTTTCTCGACAACCAAAATTAAGGTGATTCAATAATTCTCGGAGACGGGTACTAATTTAGAAAGGAAAGAGAGGTGGCAGTATCTACCTCAATTTCGACGTCCTGGTGAAAACCGTTCGGCGAAGAAGATGTCTCGCTGGGATCGGATATGCGGCCAGCAGGGGAAGAAGATGATTCAGGCGTGTAGTAGGAAGCAGAGTCTGGAGACGGCTCCATTGGCAGCTTGTCTCGAGGCAGTTCAATTGGACCTGTTCAATATAATAAGTAAGATGCAAAATTACACGCATTCAAATATCTCTTTCTTCTATACAGGACAATGGCTAACTTGTAATACTTATTTGACACCATTGAATTACAGTTTAATTAATTTTAGTTTGGATAATAAAAAAATCATTTTTTTTTAATTTAACTAATATTGTGTAAGCATTTTCTTTTTTTAATATAGGCGATTGTGCCTTGACCTCGATTAATCTATGCTCAACTTGACTCAAGAAATTAGGGATAAAGAGAAATTCAACGTAAATGAACTTGAGATTACAAAATACTTTATTTATAGACTTTGTACTCCTTTTAACTTTACCAATATGTGGTTTTTTTATTTTTTTTATCTTTAATGATTTGTGGATTTTCTTTTAGAGGACAACTTATTTGCTAAAACTCAACCGTAAATCTGTTATCCTATTTGGTACCATCTTGAACGTGACTAATATCCTTCTACTGTCATTTTGTGCCCATAGTTACGTTTTACAATTTATCTGTCATGTCACATTTTTCGTATTTATTTTAATAAAAAAAAGTTGTGGAATGATTGGTTAAACGTTAAAATGAAACTCTTTAAATAATAGAGATGTAACCAAAATTTATCTCAAAATTTAAGGGTATAGTTGAAACTACTTATGTCTACATGTATTTTTACTTTTTACAACCTCAGTGCCACGTCACATTTTTATTTTTCTAATGGAAAAGTTGATCAAGAAAAAGTATTTTTAAATAACTTTTAAAGTTTAGTTTAAAATTACAGGGGGTATGATTAAAACCAAGCTTAAAATTGAGGACATTTTTGTATAGTTTGAACCGTTTGTTTGCGCCTTGGTAAGTGGTAAGTGCCCATCAATATGATTACGAATGTGGTTGGTGCGACTAATTGGGTCTCAGGAGTGGATGGGTTGAATTGGTTCTTAGCCGATAGTGGGCTGCCTGAGGCTGGGGGCTCAATGAAAGCCCAAGCCCACCGGTAAATTATAAAGAAAAAGAAGCGGAGGAAGCGAAGTGGGATGTCGGAAGAGAGAAGAGAGGAGCTGAAAAAGCATCTTGCATTGCAGTGGAGACTGGAGAGTGTGGACCAGCGAGCGAGTGAGAAAGGAATCATGAAAGAAGCCAACTTTGAATAATGAATACCCTCTTTCTCCTTTTCCTAATTCCAAGAACCCAAATCCCAAACTTTCAAACCCTAATTTGCAAACCTTTTCAAAAAAGCAAACAGCCACACAGGCCCCACTCCAGTACACAAAAAGAATACAAAATTTAAATCCTTTCCTTTTATTACTCATTGGCGTGACTCCTGAGTCCTCATCACCGATCAGTAGTTTAAATATTAAGAAGCTAATCATTTTAATCACCAAACGTTTTTGCTTTACTGGGATTAGAGCTCTCACATGGCATATGCCAACTTGTTCGTTTCATGCTCTTCAACTTTATTCTGCCAATCATCGCCTACATCATCTCCCTGAGTCATATATAAAGAAGCTTATTGTATTCTTACTTGCAAATTCTAGTTTAATCGCAATACATATAATTAAAAGCACTGTTTTAATTTGATTGGTTAAAAATTGCAGCTATTTGGAGGTACCAATGAATTGAAAAAGGATAATGCATAAAGGAAGGAGTAGCATAGGTGGAGGTGGGGAGTCAAAATGACAAAAGTTGGATACCAATGGGGAAGTGGTCGCTTTGACTAGTTTATAGGATAAGCACTTTATTACGTGCTTCCAATTTCCAAATTACTTTTCTGATGTTATTCGTTGTCAATATGTACAAATCAAGTGTTTGGTTCAAACATTTATTCAATGCTCCCCGATTCCCGATGAAACTTTTATCTTTTCTCTTCTCCTTCAATATTCTTCATTCTTCCATTGCAATTTCTTCTTTTAACTTCCACTTTTCTCATGCCCTCCCTTCTCTCCTTCTCTTCTGACATTCCTATATTTGTTTTCTTTGTTATTATTATACTGTTTCTCCTCTCCTCCCTCATACGTTTGTTTCCCATTTTTTTTAATATATTATGGCACATGCCAAACACGGGAATTAATTTCCCTAACTGGACATCAGAATTTCAAACTAACTTAAACCACAAGTTATTCGGCTGTTCTATACATTCAATGACTTGGTATTTCATCTTGTCTATATATAATAATGTGTATAATTAAAGCGGGAGATATAAGAAAATAAATTTGGAGCTGCTCAAGTTCTTTATTGAAAGCGAAAAATATGTGGAAAGACCATGACAAAAGGCCATATTCTGTTTGATCCCAATAAATTGTGAATTGTTTTGTGAGTGTGACTTAACATTGTATGGGGTTTCATCCTACTTAGACATACAAACATGAAAGAAAGGGACAATATTTTATATAATTAAATATATGTGAGAGTCCCAGTGGCCAATGCATATAATAGCAACAAATTTTGTTGGGTAGCTCTCAGTTGGTTGAGATGGGCACAAATTAGTGCAAACATTGTGTGATGAATTATTAAAACAAAATAGCAATACGAGCGACTTGATTATATATGGGTTGGACAATTATTTTCCATTATATTTTCAAAATAATTTATCATGGACAGTTTTAAAGAAAAGTATAATGGTTAAAGGACGACTTTTTATTTTTATTTTTATTTTTTAATAAAGACATGTCTTAGTTGATTTCTTAAAGATTGGCCAACTATGTTAGATAATCATAAATTCCGTTTCACTTTATAATGTATTATCATACAATTATTTAAGTGAAACTGGTCCATAATTGTTGATGGTTGAAGGGTTTTTTTTTTTTTTTGTTATATG